ACTCTTATTAAGTAAACTTTCTTCCTGGAAAGAGATACCTACTTAGCTGGCATGAGTATTCTGGTTCACCTTGGCCAGTATATTTTTATTTGTATAAATTAACAAATTAGCATTCTTATATGTTTGCTTTGTGTGAATAAATCTTTCAAGATTTGGTTGACCAGGGCTGAATTGATGAAACTGAGCTTTTGAATCTGCAAAACTGAATTCATAATGACTGAATCAAAATTCAAACATTCCAAGAGGCTCAGCTTGAAAGAATGAAGTCTCTCCTTCTTTCTCTTTGTGATTAAATTTTAAAAAATATACACCCATAATTATTTTGATATGAAATATACTTAAATATAACTACCATAAAATTCTAGTAATATTCTATTTATATGTAGTCAAATTTGGCTATCTAAACCATCCAGAATGTATTCTCAGACCTGAAAGATTTATGAAAACGGCTAACACAAAGTCATTACCATCTCTTATGGCCTAGGAGAAACTTAGGCCATTACAAACACCTATCTTATTTATTTTTTTTTTAACGTTTATTTATTTTTGAGGCAGAGAGAGACAGAGCATGAACGGGGGAGGGTCAGAGAGAGGGAGACACAGAATCTGAAACAGGCTCCGGGCTCTGAGCTGTCAGCACAGGGGCCCGATGCGGGGCTCGAACTCACGGACCATGAGATCGTGACCTGAGCCGAAGTCGGCGCTCAACCGACGGAGCCACCCAGGCGCCCCCAAACACCTATCTTAAAATATTGTGTTTTAGTAGGATTAGTTACCTGGCATCATGTGATGACCTTCAAGTCTTCTAAATGTTAGAAAGCAGCAGATTAAAAAGAAAAAAGGGGGCATACTACTAAATGTAGGTGCACTGACAAAATAGTAGGCAGTACTAAGGATAGAGGCATAATTAAAGTATACACATAATTAAATATACATAACTAAATATACACACGTATCCTCTAAAAGCACAGCAGTCTGAAGGCAAACAAGCCTTCATGAAGCAAGGGCTTACTAAACTCTTAGTAAGTCTTAAGTTATGCACAGAACCTCATTGGGAATAGGGTGGTTTCCTGACCTGTCATCAAGGAGTTTGATGTATAGATTGTATCTTCAAGGAGTTTATAATTTACTTAAAAAAGAAAAGACAGAGCATATGGATGTTAAATAATGATATTTAAAATATAAAGCAATAATAGTAGGAATAAGGAAGGATTGATTAAACTGATTGCACAAAACATACTATAAACAGTGAGAAGAGAGATTATGCAGGGCAGGTTAGAAGAGCCTGAGAAGAGTCTGTGATAGAGGTCCTCTATAAATTACATGTTAAATTTTTTTCATGTTTAAAATATCATGTGCAACACAAATGTAAATAGAAGGCCTTGGGGGAAGTCCCAACATTGCCTGGGAAATCTCTAACTGATGAATCATCAGAGAAACCAAGAGGAGGGTGGTAGGGCTGGTAACCTGAGCTGATTGTCCATTCAGTGCACTTGGGACGTGTTTGTCATCTGTGCTCTGAGTTGAGAACTGAAGATGTCCTTAAACAGGAAACAGGAACTTATTGCATAGCCTAAAAATGGAGCAGGCACTTTGAAGTAGGAAGAGATGTCTAGTTTGCTTCTGGCTAAGGGAGCAGTCATGATTCTGAAATTTCAGATAAAGACATGTTTGTCTTCAAAGCCCTGTAAACATTAGAGCCTCTCCATTCATTCTTTCACTTATTCATTCAACAAACAATTACTGGGTACCTGCTGAATATATAGAACAACCACAACACCAAAACCCAATAAGCTCTATTTCCTTAAGAAATATTCTATGGGGAGGGGAAAGACAGCTAAATCAATAGTTATAGCCACACAAAAAAATGTGTTCAATGTAAAGACAGAGGGATACAGTTGCTGGGAGAGCCTTCTGCCCTCACTTTCCCACTAGCATTCTCTGTCCAGAGCACAGTTCTTGTCTACACTTGGTCAATCCTATAATCCATTGAAACACTACTTCTACCACCCCTAACTCTCAGCCTAGATGTCCTTTTCTTTAGTAAACTTTCTTGAACCCCCAAATCTGGACTGGTGCTTCCTTCAGTGAGCCCCCATGGCCACACCAGACACTTAGGACACATATTTGCCTGCTGACTTGTCTGCACCTCCCCAGACAGTAAGCACGGAGAGGGTAAGGACTTTTTCCCCCTCAGCATTATCTTCATGCCTACCACTGTGTCTGGCACATAAGTGAGCTCTCAGTAAATACTTGCTTGAAAGAACTAATTAATTAATAAGGATTAAATTTATTATTCATATATTTTGTCCACTAAGTACATAATTCATGTAAAAAATGTTTATTGTTAACTGTTCAAGTTTATTTTACAAAACACCTGAGTAAGCTTAGTTATCTGGAAAATTCACTTTTACAGAAACCTCATTCCATGAAAATGCTGTTAGCATAGACAAATTATTCATGCTTTTAAACCTGTTAACAGCAAATCAAGAAGCTGCCAAAGCATTCCTCTAACCCTCAGTTAACCAATGGTAACCAATGGCAAATATATGTAGTAATATGTTAAACCAAATTCACTGAGAACTTTCCAATGGAATGGTAGCCTCATTTTGTGCTCTATCAGTGGTATTGCACATTT